AACGGGAATAAGTAATGATCACATAAATGCATTTCAACATACCACATGCATTAAGCACACACATCCGTAAATGATCATACATGACATTTATCATACAATGTGATCCGAATCGTAATCGTGCATATTCATGTCATAAGCGAATAATGATTACACAAGGATTATACTCATTATGCAATACGTTTCCAAGCAATCACATAAATCATAGAGGCATCTGGTACTCACTATAGTACGGAACTGAACTTAAAAGGTTACCATAACACATTTTTATCCAGAAGGGCGCACTGAGCGAAGCCTCCCGCGCTAAGCGCACTCTGCAAAATAATTAAATTTCAAGTCCCAAGAGGGCGCGCTAAGCGCAGTCCTATGCGCTAAGCGCGATCTGCGGAATGCAGAAAAAAATTGTAACAGCTCTACCTTGAGGTCCCAAAGCCTCATTTCTGCACTTCAATCCAAGTATCCATATCATAACAGTAAGAAAAACAAGTTATTATATGCTAAACATCATTAGATCCAAACATGCGTTGAAGATTTCTCAATCTAACCCTTATCCCCAAAGATGCATTTTCCGATTAATATCTCATTTTCTATCTAATGAGACTTATCTTACATCAGAGGAGATTTAGATGACAACCATGTAGCAAATGAACTCCTCTCTTGCCTAAAACTCCACCTTCATCATCATCAATCCTGTAACCCCATATTTTCCATTTAAGCAAGAAAGCTACAACTTCAAATGTGTTTTTATCTTTCTATACAAATCTTTATAACACAAAATTATATATCAAAATGAAGGTAATTTTGTGTATATTCTAGAACTTCAAGAATTTCTCAAATTAAAGTTATCAGTAAGAAGTTATGACTTATTATGTGAAGATTGTTCCTTAGGTGCAAAAATGGAAGTTTGGACATGAATATAAGTTTCTCTTCCTCTCTCTCCCTATTCCACTATCTACAAAATCTGATTTATAATTGTATCTACCAAACAATATCTTATGATGACATGCAATATTGTTCATTGAACAAAATATCCCTCAACTAAGCCATATTTACCAAGATGCCACTTAGTTCAATACCAACTAATTTTTTTTTGTTCTAACTACTCCACTTAATCTCTCTTAATACATATACATTCTCATAGTTAGCAATAAATATATGGATGTTACAATGCATATATTATTTATCTCTTGTACACACACATACACATACACACACACACACACACACACACATATATATATATATATATATATATATATATATATATATATATATATATATATATATATATATATATATATATAAAGTAAATACAGTTGACTCTTTCTGAAACATTCTTTTCTTTATGACTATGCATTACGACATGAAACTCAGGGTACGACCAAGGATATCGATGCCCATTGCTTTGAGAAAATCCAGAGTGTTGTCGGAGATGCTTTGAAAAAATTTCTAAGCAATAAATTCTCAATCTAAAGTCAATGGTGTTGTAGGAGACGCTTTTTACATCCGACTAAAGAAAGAAATTCCCCACCTAAAGTCAGGGGTGTTATCAGAGACCTTATGTACGTTCGACTAAAGAAATCAATTCCCCACTTAAAGTTAGAGGTGTTATCAAAGATGCGTTACACGTACAACTAAAACAATCAATTTCCCACTAACAATCTTGTCTCGCCCTTGCCTAGCAGCTAGACACTTCAGATGCCGTGGTGGCTTGGCCATATGTACCATTGACTGAGTTTTTATCTGGTAGGGGGAAGGGAACCGACCTTTGTCCAAGCAGCTCAAGTGATGTCCAATTAATTGTGAGGTAAGTCAAGTGATGTCCAATTGATTGTGAGGTAAGTCCTTGTAATTTTGAAAATATCAGGAGCTATGCACTAACAATCCTACCAAAATAATAAAACATGTAATAAAAGTATTTCATTCCATAAGAAGTATTTTTACATACTCTTACACTACAAGGTATTATATAAAGAGTACATAAAAAAAGTGGTGCGGAAACAGAGGTCCCAACATGTCTACTTTGGAAGAGAAATGATTTCCCTATTCTCGACTACTTGATCCATCCAAATTTTCTCCTTAGAAATCCTGAAAAGGCGATGAAACTGCTCTACTTGCAGCAAAGAATTTTCTGATGACTACAAAACTGCCTCAAGGAGAAAACTCATATAGTCAGCTGTCTTTTGGGTCAGTAAAGCGTTATGAGGATACAAGAACTCTAATTTTTTTATAAGATCCAAAAATACCTCAAATAATGGCCAGATACTGGTTCTTCATCACCATAGTATTAACAAGATGATCCACATGGTCGAATAGAGAACCATTGAGCTTCAGAGGAAGCAAAGCATTCTCCACCCCAGTAAGAGAGGTAGTAATTTTATTTACTTCATACAAGTACCCATATTGTTGAAGCTTCTGATCACAAATGATATCATCCAGTTGTTTATTTTCAGCATGGTGCCAATCAGACCAAAAATCTTCCTAGTGAACGGATGCACCAAGGGCCAAAGTAGTCGATGCACGTCGGGCATGTTGTGCTAGAGTAACCAGTTATTTTTCTAGAATAGAACCAAAACGGTTAGCCAAGTCAGAGAAATTCTCATCCAAAGGAGTAGGTTGAAAACTCTCGGAAGAATGAGAGCCAATCCTCGTTAGTAGGGGTGGGTAATTAAACACATAACTTTTGACAAAGTCGGCACGACCTTTGCAATAACATCACTCCTGATTGATTGTATTCCCTACATTTAAAGATGAAGTTGAACTTCATTATACATACCTATAAACTACATACAATCATGGGTAAAACAAATGCATCAAGTTATGCTCATTAAAAATATCGAAAACCCTAAAGGCTTTATAGCTTGCCAAATATTTTTTTCTCTCTTCCCGAGAGTAGGCTCCTATGAACAACCAGACATAAATAAAGTTATTAAAGCGTATCTTTTCAACCTCCTCTACATGAATACCCCTTTTTTGTATCCCATATTATTGGTAAACTTATTTAACGATCCCTTCTGGTATCGTGCCTCATCGGGGAGATCTCTTTCCCCATACACGTAAAGATGGTTCCCTAGTAAAAAGTGATTGTCAGTACAATACTTGGAGAACAAATAGGCACATCTACCATCCACTCGTCCTTCAATTTTGCAAACTACATCATGAGCTTAAGGCCTAATAGGGGTTACCAAAAAAAAACTAGTCCTTAAAGAGTTGCAGATTCAGAAGACATCCAAATACATGAATAGTTAGTTCTAGGTAGATTAAACCTCTATCCTTCTTCTGGGTTGGCAGGTCACAATGACACTTGAAGAGATACAAGAAAAGGATCACAAAAGGTTATTCATTCAAATACTCGCACGAGTACTGGTATACCTTTATATATTCCTAACTTGTAGGATGAAGTTCAAATGAGCCATTGTCGGGTGCTTCAGAACATCCATATCAAAGCTTGTGAAAAGGAGACGAAGGCCCGTGAAAGAAAAATCACATTCATATAAAGTAATGTCGTAATATTCATACTTGTCACATATTATTTCATCTTTATAGGGACTTAATATCCCTCTGTTAAAATATATACCAACTTCTATTAAAGCATCATTAAGACTACCTACTTTAGCAAAAGCAGAAACAATGGAAGAGTAGATATGATCTACCCAAGAATATGGAGTATCCTTCTAAGACTTATGAATACTTTTCTATAATTTCTGGCTCATGTCGCACTAACGTTACAGTTGCACGAAAATGAAACGTTAAAACAAGAAGGTAACTTCTTGACTTGAAAACTATGAATCATAAGAAAATCACACTTACCCTTCTAAAGGACACAATAATATAACATGCAAAGGGACTTCACCAAACAGGTTTAATCACTCATACACAAAACACAAAAGTTTCGGTTCCCAAGAACCCTAATGATGATACCTCTGAAATAATGTATGAAATATGGTGAATTAAATGCATGATCCCCTAAAGAAATTAAAATTCTTCTCCTCTGCTTGTATTAAGGTGATCAAGGGATGGTTGGCATCAGAGCTGAGATATCAAGCCTCTGCCTACCTATACATCGACAAGGGCTTGGAGGAAATTGTTTAGGGCCGACCACATCAACCCCGAACGACTATCAGGAAAGGGACTCACTCCTTCCAAAATCTTCTCAACATGCAAAGATTATCATCCTAATAATCACAAAGGGTCTCATGCATCTAACGACACTCTGTAAGTTATGGCTAATAAATAGAAAGTTTGTTATTTCCCTCTCTTTATATAGAGAATGCGCCAAATTGAGGTAACAAGTTTCAATTTCAATTTCATTTCACTCTTCTTCCTCCCGTATTGACTTGAGTGTTGGAGTGCTAATCACTACAACATTTAGGCTCTCCAGCAACAATTGAAAAACGTTGCCAGAACTCTGAAAATCGTTGCCTAAAACAATAGGGGACATTTTCTAGGCGTCTCCTGTGAGAGCGTTGCCTATTGTTTGAGGCGACGTTTTTTTATGTTTTTTGGGAACGCTTTTGAAAAACGTCGCCTATAGTAAAGGAATACGGGACGATTATTTACGGCCTCTGAGACAACGTTTTTTAAGCGTTGCCAAATTCGGCTACAATTAACAATCGTTGCCTTAAACCTGAATCAGGAAGATCGTTTTTGAAGTGTAGCCATAGCTTATAGGTTGTTGTTTTATAGTGTCCACATAAAATATACAATTTTGCAATTATTATCAAAATAATATAGTCAATAATAATTGGCTTCAAAAATAATATTGATTATATAACTTAAACCATACATCCATAAAAGTTGTAATATAATAAAATCGAGTTCAAACTTTAATTCAAGATATAGTATATAGAGTACACAAAATGCCTAACGTAACAATATTACTTTTAATACTTTGAAGTATGATCCTAGTAAAATAACTAAAAACATAGTTCAGCAAAAGAACAAAAATCATATTTCAAGTTTAATGCTTTCAACTACAAACCAAAAAAAAGACATCATCCAACTCATTCAAGTTTGTCTTCTAGGAGTAAAGCATCCAGATCGTCCTCTTGAAATTCGTTAGATATGTCATCCTCCATAAATTCTTCATCTACGTCGTCCTCTTGAAATTCACCATCTATATCCTCCTCTTGAAATTCATCATCTAGATCTATGTCGTCCTCTTGAAATTCATCATCTACGTCGTCCTCTTGAATTTTATCATTTAGGTCGTCCTCTTGAATTTTATCATTTATGTCGTCCTCTTGAATTTCATCATTTATATCGTCCTTTTCAACATCTTCATTGATACATTGCTGCATAAGAAAATAAAATAAAACACAATAACCATAAGTATTTTTGGTCCTAAGGACAATTAAGACATCAACAAGAATTAAACCTCACACAAATAAAAACTAAACCAATGAGCAAAACACATTGTTTATATTCTTCACATCTCATGGATGTGAATTAATTATGAAGGTTTTTAATGGATGTGAATTTTCGTTCTAAACTGTAATAGGTGACATGAGCTTACTAGCAAATAAATCAATTATGAAAACCATTCTGTTTTTGGCTCACTATTCAGGACTTACAATAGCCTTTAACTGTATGTATGTATGTATGTATAACTTGTGCTATCCTTTTATGTTTATTTTTTGGAGTAAATGAACTCTGATGAACACTCTTACTTGTTGTATCTTCTTTGGTTTTCAGTATCATATGGATAAATTTACAGCATACATAGTGAGTGTTATCAAACAAGGGGGTCCCATAATCTTATCCCAGGCAAGTATGTTTGTGAAATATCAATGAAAGCTCGCACAAATAAAACAGTTTCAGCCACTTCTAGGTGTTGTCACTACTTAAACAATTTCAACCACTTATTTTATTCTAGGTGTTGTCACTACTTGCAAATTTTTGCATACATTAACAACCATTTTGATACTATAACATAATTAGAAAAATATAAATCAATAATATTGGTATATATGGTTACCTTTCCATGACATGGAGCATGAGTTGATGTAGATGAATGCATTTGCGGTCTTATATCCTTTGGGGAACTATTAGCATCTCCATGAGATAATCCTAACAAATCTTCAATTGACTCTATATTAATTTGAGGATTGCATTGTTGTATTACGGTCTTAAAAGCATTTTGCAATCTATCAATCTTATCTTGAAACTCGTCCCTTAATGTAGAGACCTCTTCACTGTGGGCTTGTTTCAAAGCATTAATCTCTGCCTTTCTCTTTAAGGAAGTTTTAGTTATGTTTCTCCCATAACAGCGTACCCTGCCTGGACACTCCTTTCCAAAAAAAACTTTAAAAGCTTATGTATCACTTTCCTCCTTTTCAACCATTTCTTGAAGTTGGGACTAGCATAAATTACAAAAAAAAAAATATTAGCTACTATTATAGACAATGTTGGCCGATTATATTAAGCAAACGTATTATATAAACAATGTTACATACAATTACTTTTCCAGTTTCTACATCCAGTTCCTTTCCTTTATTTCCTTTTCGAGTTTCAACAAACATTTCTGATTGAGTGGGCTCTCTTTTTTCCTTTTCACGCTGCACAAATCAAAATAATTCCATAACAAATTATGTGAATTAAAATTCCTATTCACGAGTCAAAGAAAAGTTTTTCACGAATACTTTAATTGAACAAAGAAACATTCATACAAGGAATAATTTATTGAGAACAAAAGAAAGTTACCACTTTTTCACGAGTCAAAGCAAAGTTTTTGGGACCCATTCGATGCATCCACTTTAGTTGAGCTCTATTTCTAGTGTTATTTTCACTGATTGCCTACATTTAAATTTGACAGAATTATTATAATAAATATTACTTAATTATGGCATACATAGAAAGGTGTAAATTCACACACATACATAAAAAAATTTATTAATCTTACTTGTATAGTTTCCTTACTCCAATAAGCACAAAGACTCTTAAACTGGGCTATTGGCACATTTGGCGGACGATTTTTGAGTCTCTCGGTCATGTTGGAATACTTCAAAAAATGATTCTTCTTAATTTTGTGCTTATATCTTCTCCATGCCTCTCTAACAGTGGTCTCAATCCAATCTCGTGCTTCAACCGACAAGATAAACTTCCGCTACATAAATTATAAGATAAGACAAGATCAAGAAATGAAAAACTTTTTTTAATAATTAGACTTTCAAATTCATAGATAAAAACATACATTAGTATATCTCCAGAAACGGTTTTTATTATCATCTGGCATTCCTGACCAATTGGTGTAACGTAGAGGACAAAATGTTGAGTTCCTAGCCAATGTTCCCAAGAAGAGGCTCAAGTCAGATACTACTTTTTCACTAGGGCCAATTGGCTGAAAATCCTCATTAAAGGTCACTTCTACTCGCTCTTCCAAAGTTCTTGCATGAATCTTTTTGCACAAATTTTTCCCACGAGTTTTTCTTTGGGATGTTTCTATAAAGTAATAACACAACAACATGATATCACATATTTGCTACCAATATGTAAATAATACATGAAATCATTATTATGAAATATGAAACTAATTACCTTTTTCTTCTTCTCTATTTGTGATTTCATCTTCTTCGTTGACTTTTGCCCGATTTTGAACACTTTCTTGTCGAGTTCCTTTTTTTGATTGATTTTGATTAGAGCTACGGTTAACGCTGCTGCCCGGTTTTTCACCATTGTTTGACTTGGTTGCATCCATTTCCTTTGACTTGTGAAGATCTACATAATCATCAATCAACATTGATGGGCATTTTGGCACCCTATTTAGCTTTTGAGAGCATTCAGCTTTTGACATCATTGTGTCCAAAGATAGAGTAGATTTCTCTGGTTTCTTATTTTTGGAAGAAATAAGTATTCTCCTTGCAACTGGTTTTTCCACCTTTTGAATTTTATCTCTATTGTTCTCTAGTAGATTCTCATGAATTCTTTTTTTCAGCATTCCTGGTTTCAATATAATTTTCTCGTCATAATAATGTCATGAAAAGAAATATATAAATTTAAAGTATATGCAGGGATATTAACTACCTTGTGAAACTTCTTTGTTTCCATGTGCAAGAACTTCCTTAGCTTGTGGTTGCAAAAGCTTAGGTCTCTCTTCTTTCTACATAGCAATGTGGTTGTCCAATTTTCCATCAACCTTTTGAATTCTTTCTCTATTCACTGTAGCTTTCACTTGAGTTCTTTTCTTTGGTGTTTCTAATTTTAGTAAAAATTCACCAAAAGATATTAGGAATAATTTCATGTAATATATGCATAATAGAAAAATTTAAAAATCACTTACCTTGTACAAATTCTTTGTCACCATGTGCATGATCTTTCATTACTTTTGGTTGCGAGAGTTTGTCTATCTCCATTTTCTTTGCAATAGTCTCTTTGTCCAAATTGTGATCAACTTTTTGAACTCTTTCTTGTTGAGTTCCTTTTTTTGGTGTTTCTAATTTTCGTAAAAATTCATTAAAAAATAGTAGGAATAATATATCTAAAGGAATTCCAAAACATAACTTTAACATACATCATTTTATATAAAATCAAATGAAACAAGAAAATGATTTACCGTCCACAACTTCTATAATTTCCTGAACCCTTTCTCTATTGTTTCCCTGTAGCATCTCATGTAACTTGTCAATTTTTTCTTTCTTAACATGTTGTAGCACTTTCTTTGTCAATTCTGCACTTGATCTGACTTGAAGAGGAAAATCAAATCTTTTAGTAGGACTTCGACCACTCCTCCTATGTGATCCACCATCTTTTACACTTCTTACATTGTCCATTATGGCCAACAACTATGATCTACAAAGGGAGAAAATTACATAATTAAATAATGAAAAATTGAGTATAAATTGACATTATGTATAACCATAAATTAACAGTATATTTGAATCTAGTTTGTTATGGTTTAAGTAAAAACATGACAGCATGCGTAACCATAAATTAAACTTTGAATCATAATCAGTACTAGAAACACATTGCCAATGCTACCTAATCAGTACTAGAATCATAATCGGTTTCATCGTCACTTCCATAACTCGTGTCACTATGATCACTCTCTATTGCTTTTTGGTTGTGAAGTTCTGATAAAGGAATTTCAAAGATATCATCCGACAAATCTTTCCTAACCAAATCCACTTCACAATCATCCCTTAATGTATTAAGATTTGTTGAAATATCATATTCTTGGGCATCTGTACTTAAAGATTCTCCCATGTCAAATGATTCCCTTGGAAGTGCATTTAGAACATAGTGTTTGTTTTTGTTTAAAGGATCTTCAATAAAGAAGCATTGTTGAACTTGAGATGCCAACACAAATGGATCATTTTTGTAGCATTTTTTGATAAAGTAAACCAACGGCGATCCATATTTATCCTTTTCATCCACAAACCAATCACATTTGAACAATACATATTTTTCATGACCATAATAATCTAACTCTATAATATCTTTTATTGCCCCATAGTAAGTCACACAAATCTTTTTGGGATTTTCATCCTTCGCATTTCTAAGAACTTGAGTCACCGCTTCTAATGTCACACCACTATTTTGTGTTTTAAGCCTTGCTTCACGATTTGTTGTATGAAACCTGTATCCATTAATAACATAACCAGAATACCTTCTAACAACATCATTTGGTCCCCTAGACAACACCTTCAACCATTCAGTAACTTTCTCATCCATGAGACGTGTTTCAAACCATTGAATAAAATCTTCTCTTTGATTGTTAGCTTTTCTGGACTTCCTTTTTTTAGAGGATTATGATCATTAACCTCATGCTCTCTACAAAATAAATAACTAATATTTTAATACAAAAGAAAAAGAAAACTTATAGTGAGAATGAAATTTTGTATCAAGTAGATGAGTGTACCTAATGTACTCTTGCACTTCATCGCAATTGAATAAAATGTAGCCGTGAGCTTGGTTTAGAGACTTATGATCAAGGGAAATTAGTTTCTTCCCCCTATTGGATGACCTATGTTTGGAGTATCATCGCTATTTCGTGTCATTCTATTCATCCTTGTGTCTACAGCACTAGACAAATATCTTGAACAAAATGTTAGAGATTCTTTAACTAAGTATGCTTCAGCGATAGAACCCTCTGGACGACTCCTATTACGATCAAAAGATTTTAAATCACCCAAATATCTTTCCATATAATACATCCATCGAAATTGAACCGGTCCACCCAATCTGACTTCATTTTCCAGGTGAATTGGTAAGTGAACCATTATGTCAAAGAAACTCGGAGGGAAGATACGCTCAAATTGGCAAAGTGTTTCAGAAATTTCTACTTCCAAGTAATCCAATGATTTCACATCTATAACCTTCTGGCATAAACACCGAAAAAATGAACAAAGTCGAAGCAAAGGGATAACAATTTGATTAGGGCCTATCCCTCTTATTGCTACTTGCAACAAGTAATGCAATATAATATGAGCATCATGACTCTTGTATCCAGAAACTTTTCCTTCATTAACTTGAACACATCGAGAAATATTGGATGCAAGGCCATCAGGAAGTTTTACTGTCTTTAAAAAATTACAAAAAATAGTTTTCTCTTGCTTTGTTAGGGAGAAACATGCCTTAGGGATTTGAGTTTTCTTACCATCACGTGTTTCCTTCAAATGGAGTTTTTTTCTAATCCCCATGTGTTGTAGGCCCAAACGAGCTTTTGCATGATCCTTTTTCTTCCCTTCAATATCTAAGAGAGTCCCCGTTATATTATCACACATGTTCTTTTCTGTATGCATAACATCTACATTATGGCGCAAAGAATTATCCTTCCAATATGGTAATTGCCAAAAGATAGACTTTTTCTTCCATGGACCAGGCCTTTTTTTATGATATTTTTGCCCCACTACGTCAGGAATCTTTTCTAAGTCTTTTAAAATCATTGTTGAATCTAACAAGGAGGGTGCAGACCTATATTCTGGCTTTCCATCAAAAGAACTTGAATTTGATCTCCAACTATGATTTGAATCCAAAAAGACTCGATGACCCATATAACACATCTTTCGACTATGTTTTAAGTATCTTGAAGAAGTTTTATAATTACAAGCAGGACAAGCAAACTTCCCTTTAGTACTCCAACCGGATAACATAGCATATGCAGGGAAGTCATTCACAGTCCACATAAGAGCTGCACGCATTTGAAATGATTGATTTTTTGAAATATCATATGTTTCTACACCGACTTCCCACAATATCTTAAGCTCCTCAATAAGTGGCTGCAAATACACATCAATTTCATTTCCGGGTGACTTTGGTCCAGGAATAAGTAACGACATCAAACAATTTTCAGCCTTCATGCACAAATTTGGCGGATAGTTATATACTGTTAATACAACAGGCCATGTGCTATGTGAAAGACTCATGGTCCTAAATGGATTAAACCCATCACTTGCCAACCCAAGTCTGATGTTACGAGTTTCACGAGCAAAATCTGAATGTTTGGCATCAAAGTCTTTCCATGCTTGGGCATCAGCTGGATGCCTTAACTTCCCATCCCTTGAACGATGGTCTGCGTTCCACCTCAATGTACCCGCTGTCTTTGAACACATAAAAAGTCTTTTCAATCTTGGAATCAATGGAAAATGTCTTAGAACTTTGGCGGGAACCTTATGAGCTTTTATAGATTCTTCAAGATCATTAGCAACTTCAGGATATTCAATCCACCTTGACGTGCCACAAATATGACATGAATCATCTTTCTCGTGATCTTTCCAAAACAACATGCAGTTGTTCGGACATGCATCAATCTTTTTATAGTCTAAGCCCAAATCTTTTATCATAGATTTTGTTTTATTGAAAGAGACAGGGATGTTCAAATCTGGCATAGCCTCTTTTAACAACTCTACGAGAGCAGTGAATGATGCATTACTCCATCCATGGAGACATTTCAACAAATAAATTCGAATAGTGAATGATAACGAGGAAAACTTTTCACAATCAGGATACAACTCTTGATTTGCATCATCAACTAGTTTATAAAATTTCTTTGCATCTTCATTTATCCCTTCATGTACTCCACCTCCTTCAGCCACATCTTTAAATGTCTCAAATAGTAAGCCATCGATATCATCATGAGATGATGTTTCATCATCACTATCACCATCAAGATCTATAAGACTCTCATCTTCACCATGATAAATCCATTAGGTGTATCCCTTTACAAATCCTTTACTACATAAATGGTCATACACTACATCTCTTACTTCCCAACTATCATTGCAACATACAGAACAAGGACACGAAATATCTTCTTCTTCAACCATTCCTTTGGTGAATGCAATATCCAAAAAGTAATTTACACCGTCCTTATAACTTTGACTGTGTGGAGGTAACTCCACCCAATCCTTCTTTATCATGTTTGGTTTTCTAAAATTAAATAAATTATACATTTCTCTTTATCATATAAAGGATGGAAAAACACCATGGTTCATATATCAACGTAGCTTTTACAAATGCATAGTTATTATAAAAATTTCATTTATAATCTAAATATACACTAAACATGCATTCCAATACCAAACATGGAATAAATTGGTGAATTTCTAAACATGCACAAACATTTCATAGTCTAATATAATATGTATTTGTTGTTTCTTTTCAAACTATATAATATGTATCTGTTACCTGAATTCTTTCAACTTGATTCCAGCAGTAATAGAAACTAAAATCTTGTCCTTAGTTACAAGCGACTTCGATTTCAACACAACTTCCTTCACTGCAACAACAACAACAAAGCTAGTAAATGAAACGGAGACGTTTCTTTCCCAAACAATGTTGAAACCGATGAAATATCTATTGAGGTTTAACCGAAACAACGACGGTGAATGATCTAAAGACAAATAATTAGAAAATGAGAAAATGAAATGCAATTACAATTACAAACTTATTAAACAAAATTGAACAAAGAACCAATATTGTAATAGTTATCTAATAAAGTGCCACCACAGAATAATATAGGTATTTACTCATGCAAAACTTAAAGAGTAGAAAGTAATTTATGCTCCTCACATGGACCCAACAAGCGCATCACAATGGTAGCTCGGGTGCTTTTGACATACTCAAATCACATAGCAAGGTATCCCATATCACATAGCAAGGCACGAACTAAAGATCATACAACGTTATTCGTGGTCATAAGTGATTTGTGTCCTGGTAGTCGGTCTACTTAGATTCAAACATACATCCACCGACATCACCCAGCACGGTACAATAACATAGCATATCGAGCTACATGGTAAAATTCATCTAAACGTTCAACCAGAACGACGGGAAACAACAATGATCTCATAATATCATTTATTAAATAATACATTTCCATCATATACATGTACTATCATCATTCTCATAAAGCGTGCAATTAAGCATATGTATCAACAGTCAAATAATAAGTTGCATACACATCACTGCACTCGTTCCTTAATTTAAGGAACTAACAGAGGAGTCTGCTTCACTCATAAAACAGAATCGCACTCAAAAGGATCATTCACCACTTAAATTCCAATGTAACACTCATAATTAGTGTTATAAAAAGTGATCCCCAAATGTTTATTTTTGCATCATAACATGCTCATAGAAGTCATAGAAGACTAAGAATATACCTGGTTACCATCACAGGACGGGACGACACTCCATAAGAAAGTTCAATTTCTCGAGGAATTAGCTTTCGCGCTAAGCGCTAATTGGAAATTTTATTTTTTCCAAATTTCAAGAAAGCGCGCTAAGCGTAGTCTGTGAAACCAGAAAAACCAAAATATTATCAGTTCTGTCA